TCCTGCTCCTCCTCCTCCTGCTCCTCCTCGCTCCTCCTCCTCCTCCTCCTCCTCCTCCTCCTCTTCTTCTTCTTGTTATCATTAGTCATCAGTATTACGATTACTATTCTTCATACTGCTAATAATACTATCAGTATTAGCATTATCAGTTGTACGAGTAGTATACTTATTCTTCTTATTCGTAATATTATTCGCATTGCTACTATTATCCTCCTCCTCCTGCTCCTCCTCCTCGTCCTCTTCCTCCTCCTCCTCCTCCTCCTCCTCCTTTCCTTTTCCTCATACATAATGTATCCCTGTCGCACCCCGAAGCCACTTTCTTGGGCGGGCCGGACATTTCGCCTGAGACTTCCTCACCACTTACGACTCCGATGCTTAAAAAATGACAACAAATTCACAGATGGAGGGCGGGTGGTATTCAAAATGTGACTCTCGCGTTAGCGCCGCGCTCACTCGTATTAAACATGTGCAAGAGATTCACGGATTGAGGGCGGGTGGTTTTCAAAATGTGGCTCTCGCGTTAGCGCCGCGCTCACTCGTTTTAAACAATTAAAAGAGCTTCACGGATTGAGGGCGGGTGGTTTTAAAAATGCGGCTCTCGCCTGAGCGCCGCGCACACTCGTTCAAACAAATGCAAGAGCTTCACGGATTGAGGGCGGCTCCTTTTAAAAATGCGGCTCTCGCATTAGCGCCGCGCACATTTTAAAACATTGCAGAAGTCTCACGGATCCCCCTCACCATCGAACCAGAAATGGCGTGTTGGAAGGATTCCGGATTATGCGGGCGCAACAGATAGCTTGATTCGCACTGTTGAAGTCCCCGAAAAAGGCGTTCTGGCACGAATCCAGATCGTCAGGACGCAGCAGTCAGGTTGACCCGTGGCGTGGAAATCCCGAGAACAATGTTTTGGCATGCTTCAAGGTTTTCAAACGGTTGTCTTCCAACGAGGCAGTTCACTCAATGGTAATGAACCGATGTAGGGGCCTATGAAAGGAAGCTTGGAGGGAGGGCTCATTCCAATATCGTTGATGGCTCTTGGATTTACGCAAGTCCTCCTCCTCCTCCTCCTCCTTCTCCTCCTCCTCCTCCTGCTCCCCCTTCTCCTCCTGCTCCTCCCCCTCCTCCTGCTCCACCTTCTCCTCCTCCCCCTCCTCCCCCGCCTCCTCCTCCTCCTCCTCCTCCTCCTCCTCCTCCTCCTCCTCCTCCTCCTCCTCCTCCTCCATCTCCTCCTCCCTCCTCCTCCCCTCTCCTCCTCCTCCTCCTCCTCCTCCTCCTCCTCCTCCTCCTCCTTCTCCTCCTCCTCCTCCTCCTCTCCCTCCTCATTATCCCCTCCTCCTCCTCCGCCTCCTCCTCCCCCTCTCTCTCCTCCTCCTCCTCCTCCTCTCCTCCTCCTCCTCTCTTCTCCTCCTCCTCCTCTACATTACTCAATATGAAAACTACTCTCCCTCTTCCCATGATGACGGAATGGGAGTAGCCGCCCCCCCCCCCGCACTGTTTTTTTACTCACAGGTTTCCCCGGAGTTGGGTTTTCGCCTGCATTTTTTCCAAAATGCTGCTCTCGCTGAGGAGCCGGCCTCATTTTCGGGCCCCGCTCGTTCCGAATCGTGCTCCCGCTGCAGCGCTGGCCTCATTTCCGCCAGCGCCTGGGCTGCACGCCCGAGCCGGCGCCCGGGCCGGCGCTCGGGCCGCCGGGTCCGGAGCCGGTTCCGGCACCCCCGGAAAATGGAGTTCCGAGGCGGCGCCGAAAAAAGGCCATTCTAATACACATTTCTTTGAAAATGCTCAATTTCTGCGTCCAGCGCCCGGGAGGCCTCCTGGGCCGATTCCGACGCCCGGGCCGGCGCCCGAGTTGGCGCCCGGGCCGGACGCCCGAGCCGGCGCCCGGGCCGGCGCCCGTGCCGGGTCCGGAGCCGGTTCCGGCCGGCGCCGGAAAATCGAGTTCTTCCGGGGCGGCGCCGAAAAAAGGCCATTCTACACATTTTTCTTCTGAGAATGCTCAATTTCTGCTTCCGGCGCCCGGGAGGCCTCCCGGGCCGATTCCGACGGCCGGGCTGGCGCCCGAGCCGGCGCCCGGACGCCCGAGCCGGCGCCCGGGCCGGCGCCCGGGCCGGGTCCGGAGCCGGTTCCGGCCGGCGCCGGAAAATCGAGTTCCGAGGCGGCGCCGAAAAGAGGCCATTCCAATACACATCGCCCGGGGAGCCTCCCGGGCCGATTCTGGCGTGCTTCCGCTCGTTCCGAATCGCCTCATTTCCGCGCTTCCGCTCGTTTCGACTCGTGCTCCCGCTGCAGCGCTGGCGTCATTTCCCGCGCCATGCCACGGCATGCAATGCAATGCTAGGTTGATGCTACGCTTCGCGGTGCTCGTCTACGCCATGCCATGCCGTGCTCTACAATGCATTGCATACCCTTTCGGGATCATTGCCCTGCTCGACATCCGACTGTGCGAGTAGAGAGGGGATCTGCGCCATGGTAAGGGATGGGAGGGAGGGGTAGGATGTCAGATATGACGCGAGCGCACCTAGCTTCCCTTCCTCCCCTCCTCCTCCTCCTCCTCCTCCTTTTCCTCCTCTTCCTCGTCCTCCTCCTCCTCCTCCTCCTCCTCCTCCTCCTCTTCTCCTCCTCCTCCTCCTCCTCCTCCTCCTCCTCCTCCTCCTCCTCCTCCTCCTCCTCCTTCCTCCTCCTCCTCCTCCTCCTCCCGCCTCCTCCTCCTCCTCCGCCCACCCCTCCTCCTCCTCCTCCTCCTCCTCCTCCCCTCTCCTCCTCCCCTCCTCCTCCCCCCTCCCCCTCCTCCTCCTCCTCCTCCTCCTCCTCTCCTCCTCCTCCTCTCCTCCTCATCATATCATCATCATCATCATCATCATCATCATCATCATCAGCATCATCATCATCATCATCATCATCAGCAGCACAGAATCAGCATCAGCACAGCATCAGCATCATCAGCATCAGCATCAGCATCAGCATCAGCATCAGCATCAGCATTCGCATCAGCATCATCCCCTCCCCCTCCTCCTCTCCTCCTCCTCCTCCTCCTCCTCCTCCTCCTCCCTCCTCCTCCTCCTCCTCCTCCTCCTCATCCTCATCATCCCCTCCTTCTCCTCCTCCTCCTCCTCCTCCTCCTCTCCTCCTCCTCCTCCTCCTCCTCCTCCTCCTCCTCCCCCCCTCTCCTCCTCCTCCTCCCTTCCCCTCCTCCGACCCCTCCTGCTTCTCCTCCTCCTCCTCCTCCCTCCTCCTCCTCTCCTCCGCCTCCTCCTCCTCCTCCTCCTCCTCCTCCTCCCTCCTCCCTCCTCCTCCTCCCCCTCCTCCCTCCTCCTCCTCCTCCGCCTCCTCCTCCTCCTCCTCCTCCTCCTCCTCCTCCTCCTCCTCCTCCTCCTCCGCCTCCTCCTCCTCATCCTCTGCCCACGATGCCTCGAGAGGGGCCCCCGGCGGGCTCCAGGAGACGGCGCGGCAGAGCTGGGAGCGCCCTGGACCAGGCACACCTCTGGCAACATCGGGCCTCTGGCTGTCCCGGGGCGATGCTGGCCGGCCTCGGACACGCGGGGCTGTCGTAGAGCGTTCGGGCTCGAAAAACTCTGCGGGCGTGATGGGGCCCAGGGCCCGTCGGCGCGGAAATATGTCCCATTATGGAATCTCGGGGTCCCTCACTGGCCACGGGTGGAAAAACACGGCATCAGCATCAACTCTCGGAGGTCCGCGGGATTTTTTTGACGGCGCTGGACACCCTCCCCGCCGCGTGGAGCGCGCCAGGGGCGGCGTCGGAGAGGCCGCCCGGGAACCACAGCGCAGATCCACAGGATCCGCGCGGAGTTTCCCTTCTCCTTTCTTGTTCTTGTTTGTTTCTCCTTCTTCGACGCTCGCCCTGGAAGGGGGTCGGCGGCGGCGGCCGTCGGCCCTTCGCGGCATCGCCGACGAGCTGCTGGACGTGCCGCTGGTGCCCGTGCCACTCGTGCCCGAGGCGGTGCGGGAGGTGGACGTCCCGCTACTGCGGCAAAGGGAGCCGCCCATGGTCCCCGGTCAGCCGTGCCATGGTCCCCCTCTCCTTTTCCTTCTCCTGTTCCTGCACCTATTCCTCCTCCTCTTCGTCCTCCTCCTCCTCCTCCTCCTCCTCCTCCTCCTCCTCCTCCTCCTCCTCCTCCTCCTCCTCCCCTTCATCCTCCTCCTCCTCTTCCTGGCTCAAGCCTACCGTAGGCAGGTGACGCCTGCTTTCTCGCCAATCAGTATCGTAGCCCCAGGTCAGAAGCCAAACCTGGGGCCTCCCTCGTTCCATCAGACATGGGTGGCCAGCGACAGCCAAGCCGTGGCAGGGGAGACGGACGTACGTACCTCTGCTGCCAGTCTGGTGGATGCAAAGGATGGACATGGGCGGACAAGCCGTTCAAGTATTGTGGTCAGTGCGGCTCAGCCTTTATAGGACGAAAGACAGGACAGCCTGCCCCGTCCCCCCAGTCACAGACTACATCAGGCGGCACTCCCAACAGGTGGCGCAAGCGCTCGTCCAGCCCAGCGCCGAAGAGCCACCAAAAAGGAGCTGCAGCAGTACGTGAACCCGATGGGCCAGATCGTGATCCAGTTGCTGTGTGCGCGGCAGCTGTTCAGTTCTGGAAGAAAATGGAAGGCATCAAAGGGAGTCACTACCTGCAGGCCGTGGAGGAGTTAAAAGCAGCGAAAGCATCGACACTAGCAGCGAAACCATGGGACCAGCAGCGAAAGTCGCTGCACGACCAGCTCGAAGTCGCAAAGAAGAAGCTGCTCAGTGCCCAACAGAATTGTGACAAAACGTGTGAGGCCATGGTCACCTTGGTCAATGACTACACCAACCAGTGCAAGCTCGTCGCCGACCTGTCAGCGGAGACGCAGCAGTTAGAGACCCAGCACAATATGGCAGTGGAGCAGGCGTTGAAGGAGCACGTCAGCACCTCGGCCCCCTCGCTGGAGACGTACATCATCAGCCAGTTCCCGCCTGGGCTCGCGCCGTCCGCTGAGGTGAAGCAGGCCGTCATTCAGTTGTCGGCAAAGCTACGCGACGAGTGGCAGGCAGCCCAGGCAACCCAGGCCAGCTCCCAGCAGGCCCAGACGGCGTCCCAGGTGGCGGCGGAATCCCAGACGGGCGCCGAGGTGGGGGCCGCAGTCCCAATCGCAGCCGATGACGACCCGAGGGCGCCATCGCTGGCCACCGCCACCCCATCGGGAGACGTCAGCCCTGAGCTGGCTGCCAGGCTGAACGTCGAGGCCGAGGCCATGCAGCTGGACCATGACGAGGCTGACAAGCGGAGCCAGGGCATGAAGCGCGCAGGCGAAGCGATCGACCAGGTTCTGAACATCAACGGCCAGAACTCGGCGCTCACGCCCCAGCAGCAGATGGCCAACGCGGCGCTCCAGTCCAGCGCGAAGGCGCTCTGCCTGGCCAACAAGGGCAAGGGCGGAAAAGGGGCGGACGGGGCGCCGTGTGGGTAACACGGTCAGGTTCGCTACGATCAATGGAAGCTGCTGGAGATCGATTCGGAAGTTTCTGAAGTCTAGAGCAGCCGAGACGGTGGACATCATCTGCTGTCAAGAACTTCGGGTATTGAAGGATGCGCTCCCGTTCATCGTACAATGGTGTGAGCGAGAGGGGTGGAACGCGATACTCTCTCCAGCCGTGCTCAGTGAGAAAGGGTACCCTGTCCAAGGGACAGGGATTTTGATTCGTGGTGGGCATGACTATGGAGTATCACGTGTGCCAGTGCCTGCAGGGGTAGTAGAGTCACGGCGCACAGCAGTTTCACTTGAGCTTCCTGGGCATCGTCCATTCGTACTAGTTTCAATTTACTTGGCCGACGGGGGCGGCCTCAACCAGTATAACTTAGAGCTCTTAGCTGGGGTTGCAATGATTCTGGACGCTGTACGACAGCCACTCAGCATTGCTGGGGATTTCCATGTTCCGACGAGTAAGCTAATCGAGTCGAACTACCCGCCGAGAGCAGGCCTTAAGATTTTGGCCCCGACAAAACCAACATGTAAGATGAAGAAGTCTGAGTCCATCATCGACTTCGTTCTCGCCTCGTCGCGTTTCGACCAGGACCTCTCGGGGGCCACGGTTCTTGACGAGTACCCCATGAGCCCGCGTAGGCCCGTGCTGTTCCAGCTGCGCTGCGGGAAGCCCCATATGGTGCCAGTCTTGGAGAAGCCCCAACCATTCGCTACCTCCAGGCCTTATGTGCCTACCAACCATGTGCCGTCCTGGGACCGTACGGAGGCAGCCTTGGAATTCCTGGACCAGGTTATCGATCGCGAGTCTGGGATTGAGGCCCGCTTGCTGGCCCTAGATTCGGCATACCAGTACTTCGCCTCGGACATGGCGAAGACGATCAGTATTCGCACGGACACTCCGATCAAGTCGCCCACTGCCCCGCGGGTGGGCCTCCCAAAGGTCCGCTGGGCACCAGGAGCCGCTCGAGAGGTGGAACCCAGGGCCAGCTGGAGGAGTCGATCAATTCCGATTCGGTGGTTGAAAAAAAACAAAGTTATGGATGTCATCCGACGGGTTTATTCCAAGGAGGAGTTCTACCTCTCTGAGATTGTGACCAGCATCCAGTCGCCACCCCCAGAGCTCGAAGGTACCGAGGAGTTTGCCCGTTTGCTCGCCAGTGTTAGGACTGCTCTAGGCGCTGCTGCCCAAGACCAGGACAATGGCCAGATGGACCCCAAGCTCGCGTTGAAGGTATTTGAAGAGCTCGATGGCGCAGTTGATCACGCGCCCCAAGCTGAGGAGGCCAAGGACCGACAAAGTGAAACAACGTCTTGGAACAACTGGGTCCAGGAGGCCATGTCTCGGGGAGTTGGTTGGGCCCATCGCTGGACCTCTAAGCTCACTTCCTGGCAACCTCAGAAAGTTTGGCGCCCCGAGCTGCAGACATTTTCAGGTCGGCCTTCAGAGTTGCTCCAGTCCGAGGCAACCCGCCTCGCAGGATTGTGGCAGGCCACGCCGCAGGAGCAGGACTTTAACTTGCCGTCGGCCGAGCGTGACCGCTTGGAGCCCATCACGCCTGGCCAGATCAGATCAGCTGCCAAAAGATTTCCAAAATCTACCAGCCAGACTTGGGATGGGTTTCACCCTCGTCACTTTGCTTATATCAGCAATGTGGAACTGGAGCACGTGCGTAAGCTTTTGGCAGCGATCGAAGAGATTGGAGCATTTCCGACAGCCATCCGTGGCGCCATTATCACGCTCATTGAGAAGCACAAGCCTGGCCAGTCTGAGGGCCCCTCGTACCGTGGAGTCGGTTTGCTCCCTGCCCTCTGGAGGGCGCGGTCCAAAATTCGCCAGGAGGAAGCTCGTCGGTGGGGAAGGGCCAACAAGAGGCCTTATCTTGCTCATCAGTCTGGTCGAGGTGTGCTTGAAACTGTTTATGCTCAGGCCTTGAAGGCTGAACTTGCCGGCTATCAAGCTGCCCACACTGGTGGGGTTTTATTGGATTTATCAAACTAGCATGAGAATGTCAATCGGAAGAAATGGAAATCTCGGGCGATCTCTTCTGGATTTTCGGAGACGCTTACGTGTATTATGATGAACCAGTATGGGGGTCCCAGGGCTGTTGCAACCAGAACATTGGCTACCTACGCGGGGTGTGCCACCACAGGCTTCCCTGCTGGCTGCTCGCTTGCGACCTACAACGTCCAAATGTATACGGCTCCCCCCATGGACTCCTGGGTTCCGAAGTTCCCCACCGTGGACCCCTCAATCTTCATAGATGATTTCACGTTGACAAGCAACAACACAAGCGTTCGCCTGTTGGTGTCGGACCTGGCGCAGGCCTCCGACAGCATGCGAGATTTAATCGAGGAGGACCTCGACTGCTCGGTCGCCTTGCACAAGGCTGCGGTGCTGGGCTCGTCCGCTGCAGTACAGCATCGCCTGGCCAAAGCTCTAGGTAAGTACAGCGGACCAGAGGGAGTCAACCAAGCACAGTCTGCGCCAAACCTCGGAGTCGATTTCACCACGGGCAACAGGATCTCGAAGAAGGCCCGAAAAACTCTGGCGAAGAGAACCTCCAAGATGAAACGTCGACTCCACCGCATGGCCTAGATTAGGCGAGCAGGCGCGAATATGCGGAAGATTTATCAGACAGGTTTGAAAGCAGCCACCTACTATGGCGCGGAGGTCGTCGGCCTCACCAACCCTGAGTTGCATGAAGCCCAGTCCCTATACCTCAAGATTGTAGGGCCCCGCTGTGCTACAAGATCCAGGTCCCTGGCATTATCGATATTGGGGGGCCCGACGTGGAGTGCTGCCCTGGGGCCGGCCTGTTGTCGGGCCAACCTGATCTGGAGAGTCGCTCATTATCCTGGTACGATCGGCTTTTCTCTGGTGGGACTCCGTGAACAAGCCCTCCAGGTCCTCCGCAAGCCCCCTACGAAGTGGTACCAGATCCGAGGGCCCTTAGGGGCCACGATGCTCAGCCTGAGCCGTCTGGGGTGGTCCATGCCCGACCCGCTCGTCTTTCGAGACTCGCAAGGCCAGGACTACCCACTCATCACTACCTCCCCTGCCCTCATCAAGAAGCCGTTTCAATCCCAGTGGCAGTTGCAGTTAGACGTGAAGGCGGGGCAGACGCTCGGTTTCGACGAGCCCCTCGACCCGTCGGTCATGCAGCACGCGCTGCAGGACAGTACAGTGCAGGCCTACAATAGGAAGACGCTGCTTTCATATGGCTGCCAGTGCATTTGGACCAAAGAAAAGATGGCCGAGGCAGGCTATCAGAATGAAGTCGAATGCGAGCTGTGTAAGGGCCCCGTGGACTCCATCCCCCACAGGCTCCTCGAGTGCCCGCAGACCCGCAACCTGAGAGAGGAAATGTTAAGTGAAGCAGATATCGAGGAGTTCAAGGACCCGAGGAGAGGATTTTCCATATGTGTTAGGAATTCAACTTCGACCTGAACCCATAGCTCTGAGGCCCCCCTGGTTTAGGACTAGATCAGGCTGTAAATTGGTCTCGAGATGGGCTGCCCAAGGAGGTGGCCATGCAAGGTGAAGTTTTCCATGATGGCAGTGTTTTGAAACCTGGGCCCGCGGTGTACGATGCCCCCGCCTGGTCCGTGGTCAAAATCGACGAGGACGGCGACCTGGTTGCCAGTCTCTCAGGCCCTGTGGGGGCCAGCCTTCCCCCCACGTCGCCCGCTGCCGAACACCTGGGGTTTCTAGTTGCTACGTCCTGCCCCAGAGTCACCAAAGCGTGGACGGATTTCAAGGGCATCCTCTCGGTGCACCAGAGCGCCGAAGTCTCACGTAAGGAAATGTACTCAGGAGATTCAGTTCTGGCCAGGACCCAGAGCTGCTTTGCGTCCCTCGAGATCGGGAAAGTAAAGGCCCACCAGGATCTGTCTTCCCTGGTGGTCGGCTCGAGGGACCGGTTTGTTGCCAAAGGAAATGACTGGGCGGACAAGGTGGCCAAACAAGCGGCCGCCAGAATCCCCGCCCCGTCCCAAAGAGAAATCGAGCATTACAAAGAATGCCGTAGCCGAGTTCAGAGGCTTGTGAAGCATGCTGCTGAGGCGCTTTCCTTGTGGGCCCCACTCGCTCCGAAGTCGGGCAAGAAGGCCTACGAGAAGCCCGCCCAGAGTCTCAACCCCCCAGTTGGGGCAGCGGGAGCAGTCAGCCAGTGGACTGCACCACCCCCGCCCCCTGGGGGTCGTCCTCGGCGTGCTCGTGCGTGCCGTAACCCCCAGGGCGTGGCCAGACATCAGTGGGCATGGCTTAATAGTCATTGGCTGTGCCTTGCGTGTCATACCCGCGCCCGCACGGACAGCACTCGCAAGACCCGCATGCGTGAAGCATGCC